GTTTTTTTAATTCCAGTATCATAATGATATGAATCCATAATAATGAAAGTTTGAAGAAAATAACTCTTAATCTTCTAATCAGCTTGAACTTTCTCAAGTGCCAAACAATTTATAATTATCATAGTATATAATACATCCAGGATAACCATAATATTTCTCATAATTATGAAATTGAATTTGCAAGAGATGTGTTAAGCACAATGAAACTAAAATAAGGTATGATGTCAAGGTGTACATATCAGTATCACATTACAATTGCATTTTCTGTTCTTGTCAGAATTGATTCCACATGATGAAGTAATCACTGAGTTATCATCAGATACTCTTTCATCTGAGGCATCTGTTGGTATTGATGGTCATAGATTCCGATGTGGCACATATGATCAGCTTGCTGTACTCAAAATGAAGGCAAGTATCACTAGGAAATTATCTACTTTGGAAACATCGATTTTAGTTTTTACCTGTTGTTACGCTTCAGAACTATTCTGTGAAAAACTGATTGAAACTTTGAAATCAATAACGATAGTGAAATGGATTTTTGTGATATAAGAAATCTCATCCATATATTGCACATATTTGCACATTGTATCATCGCCATCTCTTCTTGCATATTAGGTTGAATTGGAAAAATACTCTGCTGGAGTCAAGTGGCTGTATGAACTGTTATACAAAACTAAGTTCACAAAAGAACGTTTGAAGATTGTATCAACAAAAATGATGAATGATGTATCACGAATGAAGCGAGATGGTCGTACTGTTGTCACAGCCGTACTCCGAGATTTGAACTTTCTAGAAGGCAAGTCTATATGGAATGTTTATTTTTGAGTGTTTGATGTGTACTGTACTTTAAACTTGTTAGGAATAATATTTTGTCCTATTGCTTTCTCCACAAGCAGTAGTCAGGTTGTTGCCCTGTTAACTTTCTATGGCATTCACAGTGATGTAGTTTTGTCTTCAAGTATTAGGTCAAAATTAAAAAAAAAGAGACCCACTGTTTGTCCACATTTATTTATCGGTATATTGTTTTTTTACTGCTAAAAAACAAAAACTAGCCGGTATTTTAATCATAGTTTGGTGTAGTCATTTTGACTGGCTTATTTCTATAACATGCAAATCTATCATTTTTGATGACATGTCAGCATCTCAAAGGAATATTTTCCTGAGAATAGACTTACAGATTTTATTATTTTTAAATTATTATCTATATACTGTGACTTTGAAATAAAAAAATGAATTAATCTAAATAAGAAACCCATATGTAAGCCAAACTTCTTTTAATATTTTAAGTCATAATCCATAATTTTGCTTGCTAATATTTTAGTACAATATTTTTACATATTTTTCTATTATTTCTAAATTTTGGAGTAGATGAATATAATTCCCTATTGACAACAAAGTTTCAATCAAAAGTTTTGACAGCAATATAAATCATTCAGGATTCGTTTTGTAAAAAATTTCCAAAGTAGATTTGTGTGTTCAATATGTTTTACTAATTGTTGTCTTCCTGCATGATGACAGTCAGTATTTGTGCTATGTATTGATATTGCTAATTTGATTACATACTACTGTAGGTAGTAACCACCATACATGTAATATGATGAGACAATATAAATTCTTGAACAACCTGCTGGAGACATTAGAAGCTGATTCGGATAAGGTACATACATTAATTTGTTAAATGTATTTTATTTTAATTAAATAGATATTGTGTGTTTTTATGCAGTGTGATGTTGAAGAATGGAGTTTTCTGTGTATAATACGTCTGTTGAACCATAGCTTATAGTTGTCTTTGTTTCATTGACCAATGATGGGTTTCACTGTCATGTGATATTTTTAGCAGAGTACTTCGTCAAATCTGCCATCTTACTCATTCTAATTTGTAGCAAGTCATGTATGAATTGTTAATTTTTACTCAGTAGTCACTTGGTGCAATGTGTGAATGCATGTATATGTGACCATACCAGGAAACAGGAAATGATTGATGTTAAAAGCTTCTCTAGCAATATTAAGGTTTATTTGTTTGGCAGTCGCCTCATCATTATACCTTGGCAGAATTTCTAATATAAACCTGTATTCACTCCAGATGAAATCAAACACTGCTGTGTATGTTCTGGTATGTTTTCATGACGTGATGTCAAGTGCTGTGACATGTTTTCATGATAAATGGAACGTGATGTCAAGTGCTGTGACATGTTTTCATGATAAATGGAACGTGATGTCAAGTGCTGTGACATGTTTTCATGATAAATGGAACGTGATGTCAAGTGCTGTGACATGTTTTTATGATAAATGGAACGTGATGTCAAGTGCTGTGACATGTTTTCATGATAAATGGAAGGTGATGTCAAGTGCTGTGACATGTTTTCATGATAAATGGAACGTGATGTCAAGTGCTGTGACATGTTTTCATGATAAATGGAACGTGATGTCAAGTGCTGTGACATGTTTTCATGATAAATGGAACGTGATGTCAAGTGCTGTGACATGTTTTTATGATAAATGGAACGTGATGTCAAGTGCTGTGACATGTTTTCATGATAAATGGAACGTGATGTCAAGTGCTGTGACATGTTTTCATGATAAATGGAACGTGATGTCAAGTGCTGTGACATGTTTTTATGATAAATGGAACGTGATGTCAAGTGCTGTGACATGTTTTCATGATAAATGGAACGTGATGTCAAGTGCTGTGACATGTTTTTATAGAAAAGAAATCAAATGCAAAATTGTATGTTTGCACGCACTGCAAAATCTATTGGTTTAAATTAAATGCTTTTTGATGGATCAAGCACTTTGCTTAATCTGAGATGAAATTTACACTTTTTTTATTAATACTATGATGACTGGATTCATAGAAATGGCTGAGGTCATCTTTTGTCATCTTTCACGAAATAAATCGGGTTAATTTTTTCAATTATTTTTCAAATATTTGGATCACAACTTTTAGCCAATGAGAAATTGAGTTTACTGGAATCAAACTTAATTTTAGAAGAGTATACAAAATCACCAAAATATGATGTTTAAAATGTTCAGCCTCCACTATTCCTACACACATATTCCAAACAAAACTGATCTGCAGACATGTCCTCTACTCTACATTTGACAGTGGTATTGTGGTTTATCCTGAACAGATTATCACAGAATTGAATGATGTGCGTGAATTTTTGACGTCACGGCTAATATACGAGTACATATGTCAGCTAATTTAGAGACTTTGTCAGCCAATCAGACTCCCTTATCACCGTGGTTGGAAACATTCATTAAAGACCACTCTGAGAATGTCCAGAAACAGTAAGTTAAAAGTGCAAAACTGCTTACAAGATTGTGCTCCATTGGTTACCCAACCCCAGTCAGACCAATCACAGTGCAACAGGTTTTTTTGGTGTATCAAAGTTTTCATTGTATATATGCTTTGACAGTTGGATTGCCTTTAGAAACACAAACTATTTAATCAGTCATTTTTAGTGGAACTGTGTTAGAAATAACATAATGCATTGCATGTTTTCTAAAAGCTAAGCACTTGAACTATTACTACTTATCCTAGTCTGTAGTGTTCCGATTCATTACAAAAGTATAATTTTCTTGGTAATTGGATAGTATGAGGTCATTATGTATATCAGTGGACATAATCCAGTGGGAGGTACCGGTAATAGTCAGAAATGCCAATTGAATATAAGCATACAATGTATGTACAAGGAATAATTAGATATTTTGAAAAATCTTTTTGACAAACAAGCTGTTTCTGATTGGTGCGACTGTTATGTGTAGAGTTGGGTAGCCAGTCAGGCTTCGCATTGAATCAGAGATGCCAGCAAATGTTTGTTGTACATGTTTGTGATTTTATTTTCATCCTTAGAAATAAATTTTGTTAATAGGTTAATATCAATATGCACCGTACATAAATGAATGTAATAGTAAAAGAAAAAGAAAAAGAAAAAGTCAGTATTGCACATCAAGAGAATACTCATTTTTTAAAATGAAAGAATTGTGAATAAAATCACCTAATAGCTCCATTGTTTTTTTGTCACTACTTTCCATTAAATAAATGAATTTCAATCATATATATATCCAGTATTTGCTGTCAACATATCAAGATACCTATTAAATGAACACATTCAGTCACTTCTGGCTAGATTCTAATGTTTTTACTGTCATACATGTATTATAACGTATCAAATATGATACTAGTTTGATTTTGTATTATTACACTCTTTAGCTTGCATGTGATTTTCTGTATAGACCATCTTTTTGGCAAACCAACTCACACCACATTGTATTGTTTTCAGTTCATCTATTGGTAAGAAAACCAGTGAGTTACTGAATACTGATACATCCTGTTTGGGTAAGATAGTAGGTGTAGGATCTGTTGAGTCATCTTATCTCGTACAGAGTGTATCATGTATTGATCAATATGATCATCCAGATCTCCCAGCAATTATGGTTTTCATGGAGTATCTCTGTGCATTAGAGGTAAGTGATTGACAGTACTGGTAATAAAAATAGTTTAGTTATTTTGAATATGCTGAAAAATATATGCAAGGGCACATGAGCCATACAATGTGATACTAATGTTACAGTTGAGGTTCACTTACCATATGTGTCTGTCTTGAATAGTTCTTCTAGCTGCCTTAGTTTGTTCCCACTCACACTCACTCCTGTCTATAGAAAACTGTTTCAAATATGCTGCTGACTTCTTCCGGACTGCATGTCTGCTGGTGCTCTTTGGACTTTTTATATTTTTGTCCCACCCTCAACTATTCTTAGGTAGGGTACGTATGCGCAAATAGAATTACATCGCGTCTGATGGTAATTCAGGAATTGGGAATTGAGGCTTGCATACCAATGTTA